CTTAATCACGGTACCCGGGAGTGCATTCAATGTTATCGCCATGTAACAAGATCAGCCGGCCTGAAAGCATGGTTCCGAGCATATTGATTTTTCTTTGAGAAACCATAGGCTGCTTGCATCAAGAGCGCCCATATGGGTCCGCAAAAAGGTTTGCAGCATCTCATGATAGAGTTTGCCATCGACTGCTATTGCCACTTTTGACAGTGAAGAGTGTCGCCGTACTCTGCGCAACACTTGCAGGGTGTCACGGTATGTGACCCGCATTTCGATATAAGTTCTTATGAAAAAAACAGTTCTATGTGTAGCGCTTGATAGTCTGTTCCACAACCATTTTTTCGTACAGAAATATAAAAAAGAAACGAAATAAAAGACTAGCATTTGGCCCACCCTGTATGTTATAGATGCTAAACTGATGCAACAATTGGAAAAATCACCGTGTTCAATATTTGTTATGTAGCATGCCACGAGTTATCTCGCTAATCCTGTCTTACAAAACACTCTTGTCTGCTACATACGAATGCTAAGTTGTCTTTTCGAATCGATGAAGTCATTGGACTGTGGGGACAAATAGGGTTGACACACCTAATATATAATATATTCAAAATGTAATGGTCATTACACTACAGACGCAAATAATAGCTGGAGGTAGTGATTGTAGCGGTAACTAGGGCAGTGAAGTTCTTCTGAAGTGTCTTTGAAAACTTGTGACAAAAGCTGCACATTTGAAAAGACAGCAGATCCAGTGAAAACCCCATTGCAGTCTGTTGTTAGGCGGCAGCTATAGAAGCAACGAAGCAATGATAAGAACAGTCAAGTTAACACCTATCCATCGGTCGAAGTCGATCGTCTATTTCTGAAGAAATAGATCATTATCGAAGACAAGTATCATCAGCGTTAACATCAGCAATGTGTACACGAACGTCCGCGTGACTTTGGTCATCATTTCCAACAGCAGCGGCATCTGCATCTGTATCTGATGATGCCTATTAGACCACGGAAGGATTTATCGTGTCCAATGTATTACGAGAACGTACGGTCAGACACATTTAGTGGCCTAGTTGTGTGGACTGGCCGGCTGGCAATGTCCAGTTTTCCTACGGTAGAACTCAGATGATCAGCAACAGTGCCCAAAGCAACCGCAGCGTCGACGTCACGATTGGCCAACGGCGGAATTTAGCAGAACGGTAATTCTGTTGCCGTTGTGATCAAAAGATACACACACTAATAGTGTAATAATTCATTAGAACAGACGGTAGAATACGGCAGAGTCTCAGAAAACGCTTCTACAATATCCCAAAGCTTAGCATCAACAACCAGATGGATACATGTATAATGAATGATTGCTCTCTCCATCAAAAATCAAGGCAGCATTTCACTAACTAAAATGTAAATATTGATAATAATATTCTTTTATTAGCGGTAAGCGCGTTTTACAATCGATAAATTGTTATTGCATTGTCGATAGCCGATACTTCGCGTTTTTACAGCTTGAAATCTTTATAATTGTTTCGCAAATGCTAGAAATGAATACAAACAAAAATTGTTACCGTATTATTTCATTGATCAAAAACAACTCATATTATTACACTTTTATTTTATATCTTAAACAATATCCATTGATTTTTAGAATTTAAAAGAGCTAAATAAGGCATGCCCTTGGTAAGCCTGATTATATCGAATAAGGTTATTATTTTTGCAGCAATACTTCCCGTTTCTCTTAAATACGCTAAACTAAATTGATCCACACTTTTTATTGTACATAGTAAAACGTACGATGTGATTCTTTATCTTCTCAAGAAGACAGTTCCAACACGAATGTAATCCAACATTTTTCAGACTGTTGATGCGAAAAGCAACAATCGTTATTACTGGAAACGTCCGACAATCACCCAGCAACGCTTTGACCCATTACAGATATATAACTGAGTATTTTTTCGTGATGCGCACGGCGTACATACATTATCTTTACGTTCTTAGCTTGATCGTGCTGACTAATCAGAAAAAACGTATTTGACGCATTCGCTTACGTATTGACTCGTCAGTGTAAACACTCATTTTCATTGCAACAGTGAAGGTTCTTAGAATGTTAAAAGGCATTATCTTTTAGCCTTAGGACCTATCGTCATATATTTAGATAAGTTATCTATATAATTATATGAGTATATGTTCGTATAACAGCATGCGCACACACGGAGTGTTTGTTAAATCTCATTTGTTGCACACTAGAGGACATTTTTAATTCTTGCTTAACTAGCATTATATTATTTGCACGTGTATTGGACCTTATGGACGGACCCAGTTTTTTTTCCATCTATTTGCGGCGAATAGTGTATTGGATAAGGCACTCTAAAATTTCATAACTTTATGGAAGATGATTCCCGCGTTACTTAAAATGTCAGTCTTTCGATCTAGTGTTACTTCGAGCATCTTACCCTTTTCACAGATCTTTATTAGAAACATAATTTTTCTAATGCGAGGCTTACATAGACACGGTTCTCGCCAGATACAATTGTAATTATTTAGGGCTGTTTTTTTACTGTCGTGCTGACTCATAGGCTTGAGGTCCCAAGTGTGACGAGACACAATAATCGATAGTGGGGGAAGTTTTGTTTGACCTCAACGATCTTACTAACCTACCATTCACAAGCGTGAGATCATTTATGGTAGATGATAACTTTTTAATAGGACTGTACCTCTGGTTTTGTTTGGCTGGTTTTGTCAACGTACCTATTTTGAGTAAATCAACAAAATAGCAGGTAGATAAGTATATAATAGTCCAGGAATATGCAACTACACGTCTTCCATTCAAGGCTGAATAAGTAATGAGAGCAACCATAATACTTTGGCAGAACATAATAATTTTTCTTTTAGAAAAGGCTCGGGATTTTTTCTGAGTCAGTGGAAAACCTTTTTCTTCGATTTATAGTTGTTAGTTACTTTGTGGGTTTGTGGGAGGTTAGGCACGCGCCGTAGACAAGTGCGCTGAAAAATCAAATGCCCTCTGTTATCGAAACAGGCAACTTCAGCATACGGGAGACGGAAAGATTATAGAGATAAATAGATAGAACGAGAGTAGAAGAGACCCGAGTTGTCAAATAGAAACACAATCCATAACACCTGCTCACCCAATTAGAAACCCTGAGACAGATTGTCAGAGTCACCCAACAGCTAACAAAGTAGATGCCTTGCTGCCGAGGATCCAAACAACCCTTCGACAGCTCATCAGGTTGCCTCACAGGGCTCTGCTAGCGACCCTATTTCGATCTGGTTCTGGTGAAAAATATACGACGAACGGTATGAAGCCTTATGTTCGTCTACGACTGACCATCTAAACCTGCAAAGAAGTTATATCGTTGATATAGCTTCTTTAATCTTAATAGATCGTCGTCGTCGTTGCCGCCGCCGCCGCTGCTACCGGCATAGAAGCCAAAAAAAACAGAACAATGGAATTCCATGAGTGAGTATAATGAGAAAAGCAAACTTTTCTCTTTGTCGATTGGAAGATTCTTAGGGTTTTGTTGATGGTGATATTTAGGACAACAGTACACTCCTTCAGGCAGAAACGGACATCTGCAGAACGGTACCTTTAGACGAGGGCATTTCAGGCATAGATTATGCTGTTCAACAAAAAATTGATCATAGCGAACGGCCCCTTCAACCGTCCATAATTCATTAATAAAGACCCAAACACTGAGCCAAACAGCACACTCCTGGTATCTGCAATTATAGTAAGCAGACATTTCCTATCAACTGAAGTCTGATTAAAAGAAAGCAGAGCCTTTAGTCGCATGCAACAATTTTAGCGGCGCATGGCTAGAAACTTAAAGCTGCCCCATCCCCCCAGTCTAAGTGGGTACAGAAGCGTGCTGGGCCCTAGCTCATTCAGTATAGTTTTCTCGCTGAGGTATAAAGGGTATTATTATCTGATGTGATGCCTGTAAAATAGCGATGACCACAGACGGTATATTCGGACATCCCTTTAGATGCCCCACGAGTGCAGGCTGGGCAGCGAGACATATAGCGCTAAATGCAAATTATGTGATCGGAGAACAGTACAGGCGGAGCAAAAATGTTTTCGACACCTGAGTTAAGTGGTTTGACATTAAATAGAGGGAGGAAGGAGGCCGTATGCGGTGTGGCTACACTATTATGGTCTTAAGACAAATGAAACGCAACCGCATTTCATGCAGATTGACCCATTCCACCGCCCGCCAAGACAGGCTTCTTTTCAGAGTAAACTACAGGTATATCCGAACACTCCACCATCTATAAAGCTGACGCCAAAGTGAGGAAAGTTCAATAATAAAAGAGATCTATTCACATTGATGCAGTAAAATCTAAGGCATTTGACCCTTTACTAACGGATGTTACTATAAAAACGTGTTAAAGAGCTTTAAAGACGCATGATTTACACTGTGCAGGAAGATTGCTGCAGCGTCCATTTTAGACGCGATCAAGTAAATCTGCAAAGTTAAAGCCACCAAGTTCACTTGTAGGCTTGACACTTGAAAAACAGAAAACGAGTATATTTTAAAATGACATGAGACCCACACAGTTCGTACTACGGGCTGCTGTTTCAACTGACCCAACACGCCAGACCCGCAGAATATCTTCTTGGCAGAGTGCGGTGGAACTTCTAGAATGGAGAAACGCTACTTAGCGTCCTCCCTACCAGAACGCTGTTCACTGCCATTGATTACATGGATCATACATGGGCATTTTGAAGTCTAATTTGCTGTGACACTTAGAAATTATGCACATATTGTAACTTTCTCCTGTAAGTACTAAAGAAGCCGCCCAAAGAATGGTAAATAAGTACAGTAAGCCTAGATCTCGTAAAGGCCAAGAAACGGCTCTATATTTTTGTTATGTGGATATTTTAAATGACCCCCTTATAATCTTATAAACGGGTTCGATTATAAATGAAACGCATGAATATATTACTGATTTCTACGTATGTACATAACAACATTAGCATACCTGATCTCGGAAGTGTCTACCTTTTGTGTCTACGCTGCCCTTGTCTGTGATTCCTTTGTTCCTGTTCAAAGCTGCGTTATGTTGCCGATGCGCAGTGCAGCTCCAGTGTGTCCAACTACGCTAAGAAGCTGACGATCTCGATTTGTTGTTCCTTTTTGTTGTTGTACTTCCTACTGGTACAGCAGCAGCAGCAGCAGCAGCAGCAACAGCAGGTTGACAGCTGATGCTGCTGTAACTGCCGCACGAAAAAGGCGGCAGTAGGGCAAAAGTTATTTGTGCGCGGGGGCTACTCACTCTTTTTTATGTTGTGCTTACGCCTCTCACAGCCAACTTTGGCCAGACCCCATCGCGTGATCGTCACGTTCAGATCTCACCTAAAAGGCACTCTATTTTATTTGACAGCGCCAAACACAATGATGATGATAATGGTGGCGATAATGATATGTTTAAAATATCAGTTGATGGGAGAATAGCAAGTTCAATAGCACTCAGACGTCCATTAAGCTTTGTTCCGAATTCTAGGCTACATACACACAGATCGGACAGACATACACGTGTAAACAAAAAAAGTTAACCACTAAACAAATCCTTGCTCGATGTTGTTTGCGTTTTTAGCACTAATAAATACGTTCAAGTTTACACCGAATATCACCACAAAGTCGGTATATGCTGACAACGATTATGTTACTACCACATCACCCGATTCTGACTCAGGACATTGGTTTTCCGTTGCCCTTGTTGTTATTGCACATACTGAGAAACATCCTCACTAAGCTGGATTTGAATCAAATACTTATCGGATATCGGCGAAAGCTTCGCCTTTCGCTTTGCTATTCGTCCAGTTCTATTATTCGTAAGACGTTATAGACACCTCGATTCTACTGGTGGTAGGGCTGATGGAGATGTCCTTTTTTGGCCCGGTCTCATCCGTGCGACTACACGCCCTCAACGAATAGAACACGCACTATATAGACACGAATATTACGATAATCCAGCGATACCAGTGAACTGTCGCTAGCAGCGCGCGGAGAAGAGCACATTTGAATACGACTATTTTTATATGACGTATATATGTATATACATATACACACACACTTGCACCATTCAGAGGCGATCACATGCACGATAACGCTACGGTCGACGACAACTATTACTACAGATACCACTACGACTTGCACATATTGTTGTAATTTAGTCTATTGCAGCAAGTGGATAGCGTTTCTCATGATTAAAATCATGTGTACACTGTGCATGTATAGTTGGCTGGCTTTTGATATGTACTCACGCGGACGCGTGCTAACTGTCTAGTTTAATCTTCTATTAGATATGCTAGTAAGTAATGATACGGTATGACTAGCAGCGCACGGCGGCCACCATTAGCCGCGGTGACTGACAATCGACGACAAGGCACCCTCTGTGCTCACGGGCCGGCGCACTACTACTGGCCGCTCTTCGCTTACAACGACGGCGGCAAGACCTCCGGTGCTGCTTCTATTACCACAACAACAACAGCAGCGACAACAATTCCACCTCATCTAGCTTCTTTCGCTGTTGTCGTCTGCACCGATGCTGCTGCCACCAGCGCTCGTTACACGCTCGTCTGCTCGTTGCAGCCGCGGCGGCAACTGATCTCTGCTCACTGTCCTCACTAAACAGCCAACAAACGTAAGTCACCGTTAGTGGTCGCGATGGTGGCAGTGGTAGCAACAAACGCTGCAGGCTTTAGAATGGTGTGTTATCCTTCCCGCCTGATTCTGCTGTTACGAGCGGACCGCTCGGCGGAAAGGAGACACTGGATGGGTGAGAGTGAGCCAAAGCAGCGAACAGAATGAGTAGCAGCCCAACCAGGCAGGCCGCCAGCCAACAGAACCCACATACGAAAGTGAGAGGGAGGCCTGGATGAGACACAAACGTTTCTGGATACCTATCGGTGGAGTGGGTCATGTTTGGTGTGGGAGAGTGGGCAAGGGAAAGAAAGGCTACTGGACGGTTTACCGCGAGGGAGGTACGATGGTACGCGGCCCCAGAAAAAGAACAATGAATCTAGAATGGACTGGAATTAGCCAAAATCTTATGCACGATCTTAGTAATATTGCTATGATAGTTGGTGATTCGAAACGTATGGAGGAAAAAGCCCCATTAGCAACACATAATAATCAAAACAACACGGTAAACGACTAGATGAACTCTTTCCACGCTCGAGGGAAAGGGATACATGCAACAGGATTTTTTAAATGAGTTTTGTTAATACTATACCCGCTCCATAATGCAAAAATGCTTTGAAGACAAATTGTGGCTTTATTCAAATGATACACTTGATAAAATATGCACTCAGTCGTTGAGTTGATATGAAAATGATCTTGCGTAGAAAAGGAAAATAGAGTTTAATATTATCAAAACAACTTATTTGGCGTAATAATCAATACAGTATATGAATGCAAAGTAATGCTTATCGAGCAACCAAAAACAGTATACTTTATTTCATAAACTGTCTCCTTGAAAACAGAATACTACGATCTTCAAGTTATATGTTTGCCGAGAGATAAGCAGGGTATTCCTGGGGTCTTACAGCATACAACAGGAAGCTGGAATGAATAAGAACTGGAAAAAAAGAGACATCAAGGTAAAAACAACAAGTCAGAGTCTAATTTGAAGCTAATTTTAATAGACGTATCGCCAATCTACATTTAGGTAACCGGGCAATTACTGTCATGCACAATCAGGGCAGATATAAATACAAGTACCTCGAATCTCTTACTGTCCTTCCCAGTCCGGTACAAATCGACACAAGTTTAGTGAGGTCACCATAGCCGGCCACGAAATTTGCCTGTAAGATACTTAGTTTTGGGGGAAATATGGTAGGGGAATTCCTAAACTCTAAAAGTAATACATTTCTACTCGCCGTGACAAGTTCATTGCTCCGTTCTGGAAAGGTCTGGCTTTCCTTTGCTACCAGTAAGAGCTATGAATGCATGCCTCTTACGAGAAACAGCTCGCCAAAGCTTTTCCTGATTCGAACTCATTACCCTGTGTGTATATATATATATATATATATATATATATATATATATATATAGAGAGAGAGAGAGAGAGAGAGAGAAATGCGCGTTATGTTGCAAGGCGTGAGTATTGCTGGCGCTTTGCATACAGTTCATATGCATTTCATGATTATAAATATTACCATTATAGAATCAGGTACATGTATTAACTTATAGCTGATTGGCAAATATAAAGATTATGGCACATGTTAGCATTGCAGTCTTGTATTGTACACTATTTTATCAATAGGCTGTACAGTGTAATGCTTTTCACCCTAATTCAATTTTTCCACCACAGTTGGGGCAAGATATTTGCGCCTAATTTCAAGGTTCAGACTTGATTTAATGTACTTTCCTTGCTTGTGGCTTTGCTTATAACTTATTTTTTTGAAGATAACACTGTCTCGTAAGCATTCGATTCAGTTTTCACAGAAACCGAAATAAATCAGTCTGTTCGACAGGGTATATTACGTATCGATTTTATATTCCCGATACAAAATACAGTCGCGAAGCACGTCGTCCTTAGTGAACAACAACGTAACGTGTAAGAGGAGTAATGATGATGATATCCTAGATTGTGACGTAAACTAATACAAAATGCCAAAGAACCCTTTTAACTACCATAGTCTAATTGGTGCAAATAATATTCCTCAATATACGGTATTTTTTAAGTCAACGCTAAAGTAATAGATATGGAGTAGTAGGACCCTGATGAAGTTAATAAAAGAGCATTCTGATGATACTTTCTAGACTAGATAAGAGCAAAAGGCATGACGAGATCAAGTATTTGAAAAGATAATTGTGTTTCTTGTTCTTGTTAAAATAATGATGAACGAGTGTAAGAGTAAGATGATTAGAGTAGTAGACATTAGTCATGAAAATAAACGAAAAAAGAGGCATAGCTTGCCTAATCTGTTTCAGCTTCATTTTAATTTCCCACCAAATGTTCAAATGGTCTAACTTGAACATATCGTCGACGAAATGTCGAAAGGGCTGATGCGCTGTCCCACGGTCGATGCACTTAGGCTTATGTAAAAATGCATAGCTCTTCATCCCAGTTGAATAAATAACTTGAATAAATTAGCGCAAGTGAGTGCTACATGATTTGAGGGAAAATTAATTTGTGACAAAAAATGTATCTTCCACAATAATCGCAGATAGTCACATCAGTGGCTAAATGCCGCTAAACCGGTGAGACTTCACCGTGAAGCAGTGTAATGGTTGTTTTGTGGCCCAGTGTAGGTGTTATTCATTACGGCTCGTGAATCCTGGTCCATCGATCGCTGCTGAAGTGTATTATCAGTAATTGAATTAGAACAAGAACAAAGTTTGCATTGAGCAGCTGAAACTAGTGAACAGGGCTAGACCGATTCCATTGTACAACAACACTTGACCATTGGGTATTAGAGTTAGAGGCCGCTTGTCATTCACAGTACACACTAGGTATTGCTCCCAGAGATTATCATTTCTTTGGTATCAAATTTTTTAATCTCCTACCACAAAATTTTCCAACATCAGAATAGCTAAGTTATCGTCCAAGTGGTAAAAGATCGTAGATAAAATGGTGCATATTTTGAATAAACATTTTCATGTTCATATCTGAGGTCCACTGCCTTACATTCTGCCAAGAATGGCCTAATAATAGAAAGATGACTGGAGTTAAACGTGAGCTCTTAGGACAATTGTTGAACATTTCAGACGAGACTGGTTCTGTGGTATAGTTTTTACTGAACGAGAAGAGTCGATAAAAGATCTTTTATAGTAGCTTCATTGTATGTTTACGAAATATGACTCTTTGGATGACATGTACGTGTCAGGGTCATTACGAAAAGCGATTTAGGGGGCGGGAAGATCATTATTCAGGAAGGATAAATCTATGTACTATATATGTAGACGATGTGCCATGATACCTTTGAAGTGTTGATGACGGCTGGAAGCTGATCGGCCTACGGGTCAACAGTGGCGTCATCGGCTGTGGCGAGAGCCGCAGCGAATAGAGCTTGCACACCTCTCGCATCACTACCATCATTAGCCCGATATGAATAAATAGAAGGCGGAAACAGGTCAATGTGTATTGCCAAACAGGCCAATGTCACATCAACACTAAGTCAGATGGATCTCACTAATACAAACCCTCTGTCTGAACGCATGTCATGCGCGCGCGCGTGTGTGTGTGTGTATTTTTGTGTTTAGACCGATGACGGGGGCATCGGAAACATGAGCCAAGTGATCAATCAGTGAGTCCATCGGCCAGTTACCACTCAGTCACACCTTCTTCCTATATGTCGAGATACATATGCAGTCGTGTACAAATCGGTTATGAACATCAGAGTGCATCTTGATAGAACTCAGTCTCGTATCAGCGCTATGCAAACGCACGAGACATGATGATAATGTCATAAACATGATACAGCCTTGATGAGTTTTTTAAAAGTTCCAAGCAACCTATAGGTTCAGAAGTTGGGGAGAAAGCAATACACAGGATTCGATGTAGATGGTTATGACTGGTTTGTTTTACAAGATACTCTTAATTCGTGTTTACTTGAACACAAGCTGGACAAAATTTAGAGCTCTGAAGTGTGTTGGCGAGTGCACTTCAAGCAAACTTACAATGTACTCTAATTATTATTGCCTTGATCTGTGCGTGCTTCCAGAAACGCAGTTAAATTAAAAAAAAAACAGGAATAGCGGAATAAAAAAGTAATTATTGTCAGGATATTACAGTACTATACTCACTATTGTTGTATGATAATTGTCAGTACATATCCTTTATAATTTTGCAATTTATTTGTTGTATTTATAATGCAGTATAATTGATATTGTTTGCTGTTGTTAGCAGATAAATACTGAACTATTGTTAAGGTGTAATAATGACGATCAAATGGGTCGATATAGGAAGGAGGAAGCAAAGCAGACGTATTCGTTTCCTGATATCGGCTGTTGCCCAGGGCAACTCTGTGGTTCTGTGATGCTCATATTGTGCAGCATATTGTAAGCGTTAAGGTGTTGTACATACCATAATACTGCTGTTGTTACTGAAATTGTCTGGAGAACATGTAGATTTTTCATATCGATTTAACAAAAAAAAGAACGGTTTACTATAGGCAACAGTAGATACGTACGAAACTTAAACGAAACTCATGTAGATAAGGGTTCGCACTACCCCATTATTTATCTATCCCCGCATTATCCCCGTATTTATCTCCCCAAAGGTATTCGATACCCTTATCCGGAGATGATTAGATTAAGGACACCAAGGACGCTTTATTTGTTCTATAAAGGATGTTTTTCATTTTGATCTTAAGTTGCTTTTTTAATAACTTTCGTTCGCTATACTTCGCGAACTAGGTACTCCTTGAAGCATTTGCGTCGAACTGAATCATATTTGTTTTACAATAATACAAGCAATATTTAATTTTATCTAGGTCAACATAACAAAAGCTTCTGCTCTATAAATACTTTTTTGTCATTCCTAGTAGAGGAATATTGACTCTTATTTTTCCGGTCACAGACCCAACGTTAGTAACAGTGATAGGTAATAAAAATAACAATGATGTATCCTATGAATTTACGGTTTGTCATTAAACTCACTAATGGCAAATTTGCATCCTAAGTACCTACTTAATAAATAAGATATTTTATATATTATATATACACAGAA